GCGGCTGATGACTGGGGGTCGGCAGCTGGTTGCCGACGGTCGGCTGCTGGCGGCTGGCGACTGGTGCTGGCAGCTGGTGGCCAGGCTGGTGGAGGCTTAAGCTGACGGTTGGCAACAGCAGTGGTGACAGGAGCGGCAGCGGCGGCTGCAGAGGCAGCAGCTGCAAGGGCAGCGGTGGCAGGGGCGGCTGCAAGGGTAGCGGTAGAAGTGGCAGCTACAAGGGCAGCGGCGGCAGTGGCGGCAGTGGTGGCTGTAAGGGCAGCGGCAGCTGCACGGGCAGTGGCGGCAGTGGCGGCTGCAGTGGCTGCAAGGGCAGTGGCGGCTGCACGGGCAGTGGCGGCAGTGGCGGCTGCAGCTGGCGGCTGCAGCGGCAGAGGTGGCAGCGGCAGTGGCGGCAGCGGCAGTGGCTGCTGCAGCTGGGGCAGTGGCAGCGGCAGCAGCACAAGCTGCGGTAGCAGCGGCTGCAGCAGCGGCAGTGGCGGCAGCAGCTGCGGCAGTGGCAGCAGTGGCAGCGCAAGCGGCGGCTGCAGCAGCGGCAGCAGCGGCAGTGGCGGCAGCAGCTGCAGCAGTGGCAGTGGCGGCAGCGCAGGCTGCTGCAGCGGCAGTGGCGGCAGCGGCAGTGGCGGCGGCAGCGGCAGTGGCGGCGGCAGCGGCAGTGGTGGCAGCAGCGAGGGCAGTGGCAGCGGTGGCAGCACAAACTGCGGTAGCGGCAGCTGCAGCAGTGGCAGTGGCGGCAGCAGCTGCGGCAGTGGCAGCGGCTGCAGCAGCGGCAGTGGCGGCAGCGCAAGCGGCGGCTGCAGCAGCGGCAGCAGCGGCAGTGGCGGCAGCAGCTGCTGCAGTGGCAGTGGCGGCAGCGCTGGCTGCTGCAGCGGCAGTGGCGGCAGCGGCAGTGGCGGCGGCAGCGGCAGTGGTGGCGGCAACGGCAGTGGTGACAGCAGCGAGGGCAGTGGCAGCGGCGGCAGCACAAACTGCGGTAGCGGCAGCTGCAGCAGTGGCAGTGGTGGCAGCAGCTGCGGCATTGGCAGCGGCGGCAGCGGCAGCAGCGGCAGCAGCGGCAGCAGCGGCAGTGGTGGCGGCAGCTGCAGCAGCTGCAGCAATGGCAGCGGGCGGCAGCGCAGGCTGCTGCAGCAGAAGTGGTGGCAGTGGCAGTGGTTGCAGTGGCAGCAGTGGCTGCGGCAGCTGCAGTGGCTGCAGCGGTTGCTGCAGTGGCAGTGGCTGCAGCGGCAGTTGCAGCAGTAGTGGCGGCAGCATCAGTGGCTCTGGCAGCAGCAGCAGCAGCAGCAGCAGCAGCGGTAGCAGCAGCAGCAGCAGTGGTAGCGGCAGCAGCAGTGGTTGCAGTGGCAGTGGCAGCTGCAGTGGCGGCGGCTGTCTGGCGACTAGTTGGCAGCAGTGGCTGGCACAGCGGCGAGCTGGCCAGTGATGACCTGGCTGGCGCTGCTGGCGAGTAGCTGGCAGCAGTTCCTGGCGGCGAGCTGGCTAGCGCTGCTGGCGGCGAGCTGGCTAACACAGCTGGTGAGCTAGCTGGCTAACGTGCTGGCTAGCTGGCTGGCACATTGACTGGCGTGCTGGCGAGCGCACTGGCTGGCTTGCCGGCATACTGGTTTCCGTACAAAACAGAGCGAACACTACGAGGGGGTGGGGTGGGTTCGAGGCTACGGAGCGTGAAATTTGAGGGCAGGAGGTGCGTTATACTTACAGCATACATATGGCATCAACGACTCGGGCACCCTTCACCTAAAGCTCTGAACAACTCAATCCAAGCAGGTGTCTTCGACAAAGATGCCTTACTGCTACATGACAGACAGGAGCTTTACCCCAATGTGCTCAAGTACAGACCAATGGATGTAGCTTTCAATAACAACCTATTCATGTCAGCCAAAGCAAAGGATATTGGCAGCGAGGACTACAACTATATTATTACCTTCATTGATGAAGTTACTCGCTTTGTCTGGCACAAGAGCGAGACATTCGATGCCTTCAAGCTGTCCCTGAAAATGGTGGAAAAACAGTGTATACTTAAGCTGAAGGAACTACAGACAAACACGGGATGTCACGCTGTTGAATGCGCCATCAGTAGTGCACACAGGTTGATCGAAAATTGAATTCTATTGAATGACAAATGACACAAGAATATCACAATCTATAGGGAAGCACTCACGAGCCTCCCGAGCGAGTTGAGAGTCTAGCTAAGATGTGAATACTCTAGAACAGAATGCAAACCACTAGCATAACCTATTTAGAAGCACTAGAGAGTTCGCCCAGTGAACACAATAGTCATTCTAGACGAATCTATACACTTGTGATAACCGATAAAATTGGAATAATAACTTTGGATAAAATCATATAGTGACTAATAGAAGCATTCTTGGTAATCAATAGCATACCAAAAACCATGGATTTTGTTCTTTCACCTATGAAGACTATCGTACTATCACAGAAGATCAATGCTTACTTTGAGAGGACATGTTTTATGAAGCGGAGAACAGTGCCCTACGTGCACCAGCAAAACAGATGCTCAGATAGGATAAGATGAACTCTGCAAACGCCCTAGAAATGGCCACACTCCAAGTTTCAGTACAGTGCGGCCTTATCGAAATTGCAAGTGACGAAATACCACCCATAAGTGTACCCTAGGAATGAAGGGGAGTGCTGAAGGATGCTTGATAACTTAGCAAGCCTGAACATTTGATAGTAACTATTTGGTAAATAGCGCAATACCTCACATAAAGGTTGAGATAAGTTACATCAGCAGTAGTGAGTCAACAAGTGAACATTAGATTCACACGAAGATTCATGCAATTCTAGCATCACCAAAAAATGTCACATTGTTGTGCATCACCTAAAAGCTCACCACCCAACTAGTCATGTGAAATTGTCACAATACGATTAGACACAAATGAATGTGACCTTCTATGACTATAAATAGCCCCGTATTATCCTTGTCATTAACAACCATTTGCCTATACAATGTGTTAGACTTCCATTGACTCCATACTCGGCTGTTCCACAGACTCTAGTTCGTGGCCACTCATTGAGCAGTCTAATTGCTCCAATAACGTAAACTATGAGTCTCCCAAAAACCCTCAAAATTGTTCACGATTGAGAATGCACAATCCATTTCAATCCCTTAGCTTGTTTTGAGTTGAAGTTAGAGTGTTTCAACTATGAGATAGCTACTGTATTTTGCCCATTATTTCTTCTAAATAAACAATTTGTATGAGATAGGAATCGACGATTCTTCTATCTGGGCTTTTATGGTTGGTGTCAACTCTATATTTTCAGTGCACTTTGCTTTGACGACTCTGATGGGTTAGTTTAGTGCATTAAAACAAAGAACTCTGTCATTCACGAATGCGATTCTAGCCCAAACCCTTAAGTGTTTCATTAAACCTTTGATGGTTTTGGTCTCCCATTCCATTGACTCGGGGCTCGAAGTGATTCAGTCACTTCAGGATCATTCAAGAAGCCTCTCCAAAACATTTAAGAACCCCCAGGTTCCAGTTCCTGCATCGCAAAATACGTCGCGTTGGATTGGGCCCTTAAGCTTCCCCTAAGGGCACGTTTCGCTCTTATCACAAGCTTTCTGGCAATCTTAGGCATCTAGATTTTGTGTACGTGGTCATTGGCGGTGGGGCAACAAACTTACAGTGTACTCGCCCCGATGCAAAATTTGCCTGGCAGCTTAACCAGGGCAATCCTCTGTGTTGTGACCCCCAAGGTGTCATACTGATGGGTATTATAAAAATCGTTGGTGTCTGCAACAAGCTGGCATGTTTGAAACCTCGTTTCGTTGGCGAACGCCACATTGGTTGCGATGTAGGCTCGTAAACCACTCTCTGGTAACAAAGACAACTTTCTGTACCATTTTCTCCGCCTTTCATTTGTACGTGGCTGCCACTAAGGGAGGCCAATCCTCCTAGTGGCAAAACAAACTTGCGATGAAGCCTGCCATAACGGTGGAACATGCTTCATTGCCCTCTTTTCCCACACACCAGAGCTCCCACCAGCCCTCGGGATATTCACGTGAAATACCCTCAAAACTCTTATTATAAGGGTGGGTTTCGACTTGCGCCCTAGTTTTACAATGTGGTTTTTTCTACCCTGATTAAAAGAGTGGCAAATTCTAGGACACTGATTTATGTGAGTGTGAGACATAGTCACATTGTTGAGGAAAAGTGCCTTGTAGGCCCACATGAGTCACACATGTGATCCCAGACTTGTAGAGTTCGATTCAGCAGCTTTGATTTGCCTCCCCACTGCTCCCTTCGTCGATGCTCTCTACTACGATTCTTCCAAAAGCCCAACTTCACCTAGCTTGTTCCCGGCGCAGCACCCGCTCTACTGTCTTTCTGCTCCACATTTGTTCCTAATTCAGATCCCTCTGATCTCTCAATGGCAGCCATTGCTCCAGTTGAGAGTGACAAGGAGGGCGATGGTGACGGGAGATGCCCACCATTGCCTCTGTGAACCGCAATTAGTTCCTGAACATGAGCTCCATGCCGATAGCTACTCAGCATTGCTGGGCCTCATCGCCCCCCCATGTGCCCTCTCCCCATTCAAAACACACCCCTTCGCCACAATAGTGCCCTTACGTAGAAACTGGTTTTGAGGGAATACCCATATGTGCAAGAAAACTTCTAATCCTATACTGAGGCTTGATCCCTGCACCATTTGTGGCCCTGTGACTGAAAAGGGAGTGGGGCAACGGTTCCGTGATATGCCATGCTGCCTGGTTAGGGCATACATAGCAAGTGTTTCAGCTTCATTTTTGAAAGTGACACAAATTCTTCAGCCTAAACTATTGTACATTCCCTGGATATTTTAGCATAATAGTTGGTAACGACACTATCAAAAAGCGTAACAACTTCAACAAAGACTGATCAATCGGTGGTCCAAAACCAATCGGGTGTTTTGTAGTGTAGCATGAAATCTCAGCTAATATTTCTTTCAGAAGGCTAGGCAATGAGGGTTGGGACAAGTCCCTGTTTATGCGGAACGGAAGATGCAGCGTGTTGCTAAACCATTAATCCCTACAGGGTACAGCAGCAGCAGCAGCAGCAGCATCATCATCATCATCATCATCATCATCATCATCATCATCATCATCATCATCATCATCATCATCATCATCATCATCATCATCATCATCATCATCATCATCATCATCATCATCATCATCATCATCATCATCATCATCATCATCATCATCATCATCATCAGCATTATCATCATCATCATCGTCATCACTGGCATCATCTCCCTGCTCGTCTTCTTCTCCTTTCTCAAGTTAACAACCAATCAAGTTCCTCACACAACCAACAGTGTGCATTGTGTGACTGAGGAGATAACCCAATCACCTCAACTCCCGTATGGCGTGTGCGATCAGTACGAGCACATTCTGAAATTGGAGGCGTTGGAGGGAAATAATGTCGCAATGCAAATTTCTTGTGCACCTCAAAACTCACGCCAAGCACTATGATCAGGGCCGCAAATTCATTTTGGGGGCTGATCCCTCAATCCCCTCTCCCAACCTTTCACTAAGCTGTCAGCTTTCCCCTTGGATCTGGCTGATCCCTTGGTGTTACCTTAATCATTCGCCATAGGTCGTTTGTGTTACTTCCCAAATTTAGACTAAACAGCTAGAGTTCTGTAAATTTAACAACTATTGCTTGTCATCATCACACTCAGACACGGTATACATCTCCATGTCTACCACCACCCCAAACTCAGTCTCTTCCACAATCTCTTTTCGTTCTTTGCTAACCAGCATTCGATCTTGCGGGTTGTTGCTACCGGGCTTTCTCCTAGTCTAGCTCATGTTGCAGCTATCTCTGTGTTGGCATCAGCGAAGAAGTTGCGTATCAGCCTGGTGTCACCCCGCATAAAATAAATTAAAATTAAAAGAAAACCAGTCAACCTTGTAAGGTTGACGAGGGAGCTGGCTAAACATGTGGGAATCTTGTCAGGCCCCAAAATCATGATATTATTGGACTCAGGGTACTCCTCGGCTATAAGGCTAGGTCATCTGGGTTATTAAAAAAAAAAGAAAAAAAAGAGGAAATATCGAGTGGGCACTTAAAAAAACGCTGAATATTCTGCCTAGGGTCTCGAAACAAATGTGAACATTTAACATTTTTTTTAACTCTGAAACTGGCTGAATCTTTGTTTAAAGCCTGCATGCTTAGGAGCTGAATGTTATGATAGTGAAAGGGGCCCAATTGTGAAGGGGGCACAGTCATGACTATTTTGTTGTAGATTGCGCAGTATGTGCACAACCAGGTGAACTGCACGTGGCTCCTGAATGGGGTGCAAGGTGCCAGTTGAACTCCACTTCCACATGCTGCTCACACTTTTTACAGCTGAATATCGCTGGTAAAATCAAGTAGTGGAATGCGTGCAATCTGCATATGTGAACAACGCACACAAAAGTCGCAGAATTTGTTGCTCTAAGAACCATGAGCAATTCTGCTGCACCACAATATACCACGCCATCTATTGCAGCAAGGAAACTTTGGTACATCAGATCCACACTCGCCCACATGTTTCACCCTTGCCTTGCACCTTTCACCTCGACGTTCACATGCTTTTCACCTGTGAAATTCACATGCTCAGTTCTGTAACTTTCACCTGCAAAATGCACCAGCAAGTTCCCACGCGTTTCACCTGCGACTTTTGGCTCCCAAAGAATATTGTGAGCATGTAGACATGAGATCCAGTTGGCATCCGCAATCCATAAAGCACCTATACACCATTCACTCGGCAAACAGTCCTGCACCTCTCAGAAGTATCTATCTCATACACATTACGAGCACCATCATACACCTTTCATGCACATGTCATACACATTGTCTGCATATACTTTTCCCCCACCTTTCTCATTTATCCCCTTTTTTTTTGCAATCACATTTCGTACGCCTGGCATCCCCCATAACATTCCCATAATTTTACCATGAGTACTCATAATCCTCCCATGACGCCCCCATGAGCCTCCCAAGAGACTCCTGTGAACGTCTCGTGAAGGTCCTGTGAAGGCCCTGTGAGGCTCCCGTGAGCCTCCCGTAATGCTCTCGTGAGCCCCCCCAAGCCTTCCACGAGCCTGTCACGAGCCTCTAAAGAGCTTGCCATAATACTCGCTTAAGCCCTTCTTGAGTTCATGATCTCGCCCTCACCCATATAAAACACACAAAAATTTGAGGTATTTAACCATGAAACCACTACATGCAACAGCCATCCAGATTCACTCATGTTGCCCCATCCTCAGCACATAGGCGGTGGGTTGACATACACCAACAGAAAATCATATGAAATTTTTGTGGACGTGATAGTTGTCGTGCGAGCGATTTTGTGCGAGCGATAGTTGCCGTGCCCTGCTGTGCCAGCGCTGTTGTGTTGAAATAGTTGTCTTTTTGGAGTGTGGTTACCACTATGTTGTTAGTGGGCTGTTTGATTTTGCATTTGGTGGGCTAGACGAAATAAGCTTGTGTGTTTTGTTTGTGATACAATTGTTTAAGAACACTGCACATACACATGCACCAACATGTATCAGACTATTGACGTTATGTGCAAGTTGCAAACGAGACCTGCAAGCATACTTATCTAACCCACCAATAAGGGAAACACTGCTCCAACTTGTAGTCAAAACACTTTCGCATATGGTCCAAGTGCTTATTGGCCTTTATTTCTTCAAACATGGACCCTTGGATGGAGGCTGGTTCTACCAAGCTCTCAAGGAACCTTGGAAGTGACCCCGCCCCAAGAAGGGATCAAGATCATCATCACCAGCAGCAAAGCTTTGGTGGCCCTTGAAGATGGTGACAGGTGCTCGACGGGCAGCTTGGTGCAGAACAGAGGAGGGGCATGGCCGGCTTTTCATTGAAGATAAATTTAAGCCATTTACTGTCGTGAGACCCCTAGGTGAATTCCCCACTTCGACCAAACACACAAATTTCTCATGGTGTGCTGAAATGGTACCACAATCGGAAATAAACAAAGCTTTTTTGTGTTGCATTGCTTGCCTATCTGCTTGAGGTGCTCCGATGTGTTGTCTGGTAGGGCACATGTTGTCTGGCAGGAATTCCACGTCCATCATGTTAGGCCAGAATGTGGGATAAAGGGTTGCTCCCAAGGGCTGCTTCCTCCATCTTTGTCTGAATGCCCCTATTCACACTCCTTGCTGTGCCTTGCCAAAGGTTGTCAACATCTTCAAAGTACTTGCAGAAGGCCTCGCTCTTGCATTCAAAGGCACCATTGCTCTGGAAGCTCTGGTGCTCCAGTTCCGATTGTCTTTCTACACACTTGATCCAGATAGCTAAGAGGTCAAACTCTATAGAGCAACACTTACTGTTGAATGCCCAAAACATTTCGAGTAGCCGCATTGATGATTATCATGGTGTAGCGCCACTAGTGTCCGATGATATGAGGCAAAGGAATGTGTAGTAGACTCTGTCAGGCGGAGTCTAGCGAGTGGCACCGGGGATACACGAATGGAACGGTTAATGCACGAGGGCGGCCTCGGATGGTACGGTGTGTCGAGCGAGATACAAGGGTCATCTCAATGCCGTTAGGTTGCAGAATTGCAATCGGTTAAAAAATGCTGGCAAGGATGGAGTTATTAGGACAGCATAGTAGGGATGGCTGAGCCGCTGGTGCCAGAGGTCTTGCATCGCCAACTGTCCTTAAGTGCGATGGTAATAGACTGATGTCTCCATTACGCAAATTTTGCCTATGTGTGCTTGCGCCTGTGCTGTTGAAGTGTGAGCTGCAGCTAGAGCAGGAACAGCATGTTCCTCAACTCCAGCAGCAGCGGCTATGGCGAGGGTGAAAATATCGTGGAGGTCCATCACGGATTTGGGTCTGCTCATCTGTAAGTGGCCCGTCCTATAGTATGGCCAATTTAATCATGTTTATTAGTGAGACCTTGGAGGATGTCGAGGATGACACGCCTAGCTTCTTCCATTAGGGCTTTCGGTTGGCCCCACGACCTGGTCCAGGTAGATTCTTCGAGGCTACCCTAGCTGTAAAGGCCAGAGTATCGCTCAAATTTATAGTGGCAAAGGTTGCCAGCACCACTAGAGGTAGGAGGTGAGCCGCAGCCGGTACCTTGGGTGTCCAGTAGGAGTTGGGATCCCTGGTATCGGTAAATTTTCCTATTATTGCCACAATATTCCTCTCGAATGCTTTGTTTGTGTCGCTTTCTTCTTTAGGTGAAGCTTCTTTGGTGCCTTCATACGTTCCCATAGGGTTTGATGAGGAGGCAGTAGCGACAGAGCGCATGCAGCAGAAGCTATTTGCATTCGAGTGCTCAAGGTTGGTCTCTATCCGTGTTCAAGCTTCGGCTCCGAAGAGATGATGTTCCAGTCGGAGTCGACAATAGAGCAGAGTGTGTCAATGCATGCCAATTATTGAAGATGTGGAGTCCCATGCACATGCAGTGAGCGCTAGGCGATACTTCTGATGTGGGGAGTACTGACGTGAGAGCAGCCGATTTCTTCGTATCTCTTGTAGGTTTTCTCTACCCAGCCAGGTGGCGATGCAGACAGCGACGACTCTGGCACACAGAATGGGAGCAGTTGGTCAAGGGTGAGCCTTTCATGGTTGTTGTTGTTGTAACGCTCAGGATCATTATCGAGCTCCTTAGGGATGTCTTCTAAGCAAGCCATCTTTGGGATATCATCATAGTCAAAGTAGTGGTGGCAACAGTAGCAATGATAGTTATCTTCCATGTTGATAATGCGATTGACGAAATTTGTTTCCCCTTGACCTGTGCAAATGTGCTGGTGGATAGGGGCGGGGCTGCACGCGAGTCAAAGTTGCCAGTTTGTGGCGGGTGTCGTTTCTAGCTGGTGCCTCACGTTCCACTTTGCGGTTCCGGTCCTAAGCGAGTAGTCAAGGTGGTGCCTTATACTTGTCTGTTGAGTTAAGGGGACGATAGATCTTGTGAGCCAGGTTGACAGTTAAAGTGGCAGTACTCAGTGATATGTACCACTTTCTTGCATATATTGTTGCAGTAATGTCAACAATTTTCCTCCTTCTACTTCCCCCACTAACCCGCTTTAGGGTAGAATTATATGTTGTTCTTCTTTCTGTCTCTATCCTTGTATTTGTCGTGCTTGTGTTGCCTGACAAAGAGATTAGCGCTAAGGGTATTCATTAACAATTTGCCTTCGTTGCACAGCGGGGATATGAAGTGGCTCCACTCCAGTCCAAGCCCCGATACCAAGTTGTGATAATAGGGGTATTTTAGGGATTTTAGGGTTATAAAACAAGCCTCATAAAGATGGTGAAAGTCGAGCACAAAACCCAAAAAACATGCCGAACTGATTCTCCTTCAAAAATATGTTTTGGCATTGAGTTTTTGCCAAGCAAGCACCTCTCCCCTCCCCACACAAACCTAGACTATGCTCTAGCCCTTCCCAACCCCCCACGAATATAGGGGGCTTGCACCGTATGGACACTCTACCAAACACGGAACAAACTTGTACTGTGCCGTAATGTTGCTCTAGCCATAATGTGCAGGCCGCCCTTTTTTTATTTTCTTTTTTTGCCCGCAGAAGTTTTTGGCCCTAGACCCTAAATGCGATTTGATTAAAATCGCATCAACCTATA